TGCTGCAAATTATTGTATCTTTATCTTAAATGTATCAATTTCCTCAAAATAACTGTTTTTGCACCATGGATTGCCCGTAGGGTGTACTCAACGGGAAGCCCTCTAAGTGGTCTCATAACCTCTTCCCGAGTGCCTGTCTACCTCGACAGTGAGGAACAACTGTCCAGTTTGCCGATCTGAGAGGAGTGCTGCATGGGACACCAACACAACAGCTTCACAGATGAAGTGCAGAGGTATGCCGGACCATGTAATGTGTTTGTGAGTGTCCTGCTCCTGCACTTACACAATCTACTGTATAAACTGCATGCTGGTGCTACTCGTGTATGGACCAATGTGTAATGGCTTGCTGTTCAGTAGTGCTATAATAGTATACTTAAATTAACTGCTTTTTCATAGGCCATCTCATATGCCCTGGCTGTCCTACGGAATTTCTCATTGTAGGAGGCTGAGCAGGTCTTCCTTTCTGGTCCGGATTATTATTACAGGTCAGAGTAGAATATTAATTATTTTTGCACAATGCCCAGTGCACCTTTTGTTACTGATATTTCTGTTAACCCAACAGTGATTGTTCTCTGTTAACTATTTCAATGAAGTGGAAGATTTTAATAGAAGGATTGACGGTAACACTTTCTATGAAGCCTGTATTTATAATACATTATAAAGTTATTCTTAAAGCATTATAAGGAATGATATAATATATTGCATCATCTTATAAATAATCGTAAGAACAGTTTTAATGTATTATAATACTTATTTGTGGTTAAGTGTATGATGATTTATAACACACAATGAACACATTGCATCCACTTAAATTACAATGGATTATATTTCTCATAGTTGTAATGTATTATAGGTCTCATATCTTGCCATTGTTTAAGATCTGCAGATTCTGCACAATCTTTTTTATGATGTTGTATTATGTGTTATTGCAAAAATGAGTATATACAGTATATAAATATGCATTCTTGAATCATTCTTGAGTCTTGTGTCTTGCCTCTCTACAAACTTTTAAATATCTGGCTGTAATTTAGTGACTGCAAATGCTGATTTCATTAGATTCCATCTTTATTATACCTGATAATGAGCTAGTTAAACTTAAGGGGGCTAATCAATATACAGTATATATCAAGAAACTAAGAATTAAGGTACTCCACTTTTTCAGTTGTTTAAAGACTGAAATACATTTTTCATTTATATTTTAAGTGTAAATTCATTTACATTTAAAATTGTTAACTCAAAGCAGGTATTACACACTTTGTAATTAACATCTGATGCATTTATAAACCAAAAATCACAATTGAAATTTAAAAAATGTTCCTGAGATTCAATATCTTTAACAACATGTACAAATATTACTACAAACTAAATCGCCAGGGCCCTAGAACTGCGGTCCTGAAACTGCAGCCTCCGGTTGTGCAGGAACACCCTTCTCGAAATGTTGGTCGGTTTAAGCGGAAGTGTGTTGGATTAGTGGGTTTACGGTCCACAGCGATTCGTTTATGCCTCGAAATGCTTTTAGTTATGCTGTTACGCAGCCATACATAGCCGTCAGGCAACAATACATCTGCTTATATGCTTTTAACTCTATTATGCAGCGCCATATTGTATAGACATATTGGTTTTGTCTTGTGTGTGAAGCACATGGGGATGTAGCTCAGTGGTAGAGCGCATGCTTTGCATGTATGAGGCCCCGGGTTCAATCCCCGGCATCTCCAGTGTTTTTTTTTTTAATGCTTCATCGTTTGTTTCCAATATAACAAATTTGACTGTTATCGAAAAGTCACTTAGATTTCTATATTACTCTGTCAAATAAGATTTACATTTATCCATTTGTCAAAAGATTTATCTGGACATCACAAGCAATTTATTTAAGAGACAATATTTAAAGTATACTGTCAAATGAGTAGGCCTATATATATATATTTATGTATTTATTTATTTATTTTTTACATATTGGTAAAAAATGTATAGCCTGAATGCACTGTAAGTCGCTTTGGATAAAAGCATCTGCTAAATGCATAAATTAAATTAAATTTTTATATATATATATATATATATATATATATATATATATATTGGATGGGGGTTGGTTGCAGAACTCATATTAATATTAGAAACCGTACTAATGGTATTAGTTAGATGCCAGATATATTAGCCTATGTAATTTTAAGCTATGATTCTCCCACAATTGTGAAAACAAAACAGACAACCAAACAAAATATGTAATTTACAATTACATTTTTTTTAAATTAATGTTAGAAATTAGTTTATTTAAAATATGTATTAATTTAAAGGAATTAGCCTAATTATGTAAAAAAATAAATAAATGAAGACTTGTTTCATTTTGAATCTCTTGAATGAATGATTCAGACATCAAATACATTTAACAGTCACTCTTCGCCACCTACTGGCATAATGCAACATATACAATCATTATTTGCAGCGTATCATTACTTTCAAAGATCCATTGATCGCGGCTGCGGCAACATCAGAGTCTATATCCGGACTATAAACTTTTATTCCAATACTTTCGTTATTATTTAATGTTTGCAGCACAGAAATGTAGCCTGCTGTGTAGACTGTTTGTGAAGCTGTTTCAAACATAACCCTTTAAATGATGAGCGCTGCTCTCGCTCTGGATCAGTGGCTGCGCAAAAGCAGGTTTAAATATTCCGATGTGATTGTGATTTCAAAGGTTTAATAGACATAGCAGAATCACTGTCATTTAGGAATAAGATCGTGTCTGTTTGAATCGAGATCGCAATCCTTTACTGATTAAACATGTAGGCTATACAATACATATGAGCCTTATAATTATAGCCTATGTATTTTTCTAGCCCATGTCATATTTGTACCAGACCTCAAAAGTAACCTGGGCCCAGGTCCGGGTGGCCCCCCGGTTCCGCGACCCATGGAACAGCATGTGCTTATACTGTCACTTTTGATTAAGTAAATGTGTCCGTGAACTATTAATTTCTTTTAAAAACAATTCTTACTGACCCCAACCTTTTAAACGGTGAAATACAATACTTTTCTCTAAACAGAAGGATGCTGAGTGACTCACTGGGAGTCTATATTTTGTGGTATTATCAGAGGTGACCATAGTAAGAAATTCCAGTGCCATTCTTTTTGAGAGTGAAGCTGAGGCCCATGTCCTGGGCGCACAATGAATATCTGTATTGCAGAGTTCCTATAAAGGCATCTCAGTTGTCTTGGAGACAAGGAAGTTCACTTGGTCTTTTGTGGCTCTTGATGACTCTCTTATTGAACACACACATCCATTCACAGATAAACTTCCTGCCTTGTGCATCTTTCTAAAAATACAGTGAACACATCTGCCCTCTGGGCCACACGCTTTGACCTGTGGCTCAAAATCATCAGCAAGACAAGGCAATAATGCATCCTTTACTCATGCTGCACACTCTCTCTGGGAAGTTTTTGTCAAATAACTAAAATGCCCAGTATAAGCTATTTTAAAGCTATTAAAAGCTGTAATATCTCAATAAGGTATAGAGCACTGAGGTGATAAGGTTTTTGCAGTAGACAGGTTATACTCTGAGAAGTTTACCAGATCAGGAGGTCAAGTTACACTATAAATATTCAGCACACGCCTCAGTTGCCCTTGTAAGTATGCTTTTCCAATCCGGCTATTCCCTTGGGACTCCCCACAGTATTATCCAGCGAAAAAGACAGATAGCCCATCTGGAAATGTGCTCTCTCTCTCTCTCTTGCTTTCTGCCATGATACAAGTTTGAACAAGTTAACCCCTGCACAAAAATCCCAGGATTTGATTAATTTTATATGTGCCAATGAACATTTAAATTGTTTAAATACAGAAATTGTCACAAAGAAGTCGTGTATCTCAATCTGATATATCATAGCGGACCAGACAGCAACAATGCATTTAGCTAGATCTGTTCAAATCTTCGTTTTTAATTTTTTTAATCCTTTCGTTAAGAGGATTTAATCCCAACATATCCACAACTACACACAAGCCCAAAGATAAAGTGAAACCCTAATCCGGTAGTTGATTTAGATCTCACATTTAAGGATCCATATATACATATGTAAGTGTTCATACTGTGTTCAGAATCACATTAGTGTTTCCTCCATTAGCAGGTGATGAAATCTATTAGACATTTGTGTGGTTTGAGCATGAAGTACAGGAAATTTGACAGAGAGTGGATGGACATGTGCAACTAAGCATGTCGCTAAATCTCCTCGCTGGATATAAAGAGGCTTTTTCACACTGGTATCTTCCAAGCACAGAGAGAGAGTGCGCAAATGCCCGATGCACTTAGCAGGGGTGGGTGGGTATGTTACTATGGGGGTATTAGGAGTCCATTGTGCAAGTGCAGAGGCAGAAGGAGGGGAGGAGGGGGGGTGGGGTTGAGGAGATGAGAGGAACACATCTGTTCAGGAACAGAGAAGGAAGGCAGCGGGACAGAGCAGGCGAGTGCAAAGGAGGAACGAAGTTGTGAGCAAGGTAAGCATGTCCCATTTCTTTCTGTTTTGAATAACATAATTCATTGCATTAACTGTAACTCTTTGTAAGTTTTTTTTGTTGTTGTCTGACTATCTTGAGTTTATTCAGCTATTAAAGATTAAAATGATTCTGGATCATTTTGATATGAAACCAAATTAAATGATTATGCTAAAACACAGTTACTTACAACAGTTAATAATTTAATATATTGTTATTAATATTAATACTATAATACTTTTGGGAGGTTAAGGTTGAGAGATTGAATTGCATATCGTAAATGACATGCCGATGCATTATGTTATTACATTTATTGAGTGTCACATTTATGCAGGTTCTCTGTCCCCTATATGTAATGAATCGACATATTTACATGTGTCTCTTCCCCTTTTTCCCGTCAGTCTCCCTCCCTTTCGTACACTGTCCTCTGTCTTTGTCCTCTGAGACTGGCAGTGTTTTCCTTTAATTCCATTATTCCATAACTCTTCTTTTCCATGCCCTATTCCCCTATCCCTCCTACTCTTTCAACCCGCCGTCTCCCACATTGTCTCATTTCTTTAATGAAATTGCACCTGCTAATTTAATTAAAGCCTCACATCCTAGTCACATCCGTTGTGCTTGTCTGCTTTTCCTTTAAAATGAAACACATAAAACCTCTGTAGCCTCTTCATCCTTTTCTCTTTGATACTAGCCATCTGCAATTCAATCATGCAGCTTTACAACCAAAGCAGTCGGCAGTGTAGTGAAGTAAAGTAAATTATTTTAGGACTGAAAGAAGTCCTCACTTTTAAGAGATTGCGCTACTGATTTAATCTATCATCTTATATAAAGTTGTTGTTGTCATTGGTTAGAATACTATAGAACACATTCTTGTATAATCACCACTGCAAACGGTGCATTTACAGTGCTGGCATCAATTCTACAATTCCTCAACACAAGAGAGGCCACCATCTCGGATTCAGCAAAGATGACGTCATTGAAATCACTTGACTAAGGAGGACTGAGATTTGCATATCTCTATCAACAGTATTTTGTCATAGTTCTACTATTCTAAGCAGATGATGTATACGCTCTCAGTATGATGGCGATGTTTTGGACAGCAGTTGTCTTCTACATGTGTGGACATACAGTGGAAGTTTATGGAATGGCTGATAAAGATGCATTCCCAACCACTTTGGCGAGCACGGTTACGTCTACTGCTTTACCCACCGTCTTACCCACAGAAGATGAGAGCATCAAACTTGTGGTGAGAATGTGTTTGGAAGTTTTACCTGCAGTTGGAAAAGATTTTTCAGTGTTGTAGTGTTCCATTAAAAGTCAAGATGAAATTTCTTATATGCTTATGATACCCTATATGCTTCTTAGTGTGCATGATTCATTTGTGCACATTTTCTCAAGTTTATTTTCATAATTTTTAAGACAAACCTAATAATCTGTTCTGCCCATAAAATGAGTTTGCATTTTTGGGGACATCACACTCCCCATCACTAATTTGTTGTTAAATATCCTGTTTTAATCGTAATTGTCATGTTATAGAACTAAGCTTGGTTGCAAATGGCATTTTTATATTGATTTCATGGTTAATTTGAATACTTTTCAATATTTTTTTATTAAATCTATATTATTTTATATACAAAAAAAACCTTTAAAAAATAATAATAATTTACCACTGCATTTATAATTTATATAATAATAATTACCATAAATGCTTAGAAATGCAGAATGTGCAATTACTGTTCAAAAGATTGGGGTCAGTACCATTTTTTTTTAATGTTTTTGAAAGAAGTCTTTTATGCTTACCAAGGCTGCATTTATGTAATCAGAAATACATTAATATTGTTTACAATATTACAATTTAAAATAATATAATATTACAATTTTAAAAAACTTGTTTCTAATAGAGCATATTTTAAAATGTAATTTATTACTCTGATGGCAAAGCTGAATATGCTGCTTTGGTGCTCAAGCAACCTTATTATCAGATGTTGAAAAGATGAAAAGTTGTGCTGCTTAATATTATTGTGCAATGGTCATATGTTTTTTTTCCCAGGGTTAAAGTTAAAGTAATTGAATTTGTCAGCATTTACTTGAAATATAATTGTTTTTTAACAATGTAAAAATCTTTATTGTCACTTCTGATCAAGGATCACTTGCATCCTTGCTGAATAAAGCATACATTTCTTTCCAAATTTTCAGTGGTAGTGTATTTGAATATATCTTTTATGGTTTCATGTTGTTCTGTTTGGCAGGACTGGCTCACGAAGTATGGATACCTCCCACCCCCTGATCCCTCTACAGGTCAGTTACAGGCCTGGACTGCTGTCACTCAAGCAGTGAAGAAAATGCAGAGGTTTGCTGGTTTGGATGACACAGGAGTGTTAGGTATGAAAAACAATATGTCCCCCACTATTTTAAATCTAAATCTCATTTCATAACTCTTCTATTGTGCTTTTGTCTTTAACCTCACCTTCCTGTCACAGATGAAGAGACTGTTCAACTGATGCAGACACCCCGGTGCTCACTTCCAGATGATGATGATCAAACCATTCAGACATCGGCACTACACAGTGACGTGCAAAATCAGAGGATGAAAAGAGCAGCTTCTACCTGGACAAGAAGAAATATCAACTGGAGGTTAGCCTGATTATTTTACCAGTTGTGTTTTTCTTCCTGCTTTCACATACTTGATGGTTAGTACACAGTCTCACAGCAAAGAAAAAGATTAAAAACATCTTAGCAAATGTATCTTATTTTCTTATTCTTTGTTTTTTCTCAGGCTGCGTTCTTACCCGGCATCCTCTAAACTGTCCCGTGAAATGATTCGCTCCCTTGTGTACTATGCACTCAGAGTGTGGGCCGATCCAACATTACTTGAATTCCATGAGGTTCTGCTTACTTTTTAAAAGCCAGTGTTTTTGAATACATTTGTGTTCATGTAAATTCACAGACTATGTGTTGAACTATTTCAAATAGGTGCGAGGACCAGAGGGGGCGGATCTCCAGATAGATTTCTTGCGCGGTCCCCATGGAGACGGATATCCCTTTGATGGAGCAGGTGGATCTGTTGGCCATGCCTTCTTTCCATCAGATCCAGACAGGGCTGGTGGAGTTCACTTGGATGCAGAGGAGAAATGGGCCTTCAGACAACCAGGTAATTCTGCAAAACAATCAATAATACACAAAACCAAAGTAAAACCCAACAGGACAGTACAGGCCAATAATTTGCATGCTATGGCCAAAAAAAAAAAAAAAAAAAAATAAATATATTTATTAATAAATAAATTATATATATATATATATTTATTTATTTTATTTATTTTTTATCTACAAGTGAATTTAAGTTTTACAAATTTATAATGTAAAATATTAAAGACAAATATTCAATTTGGGATTTGCTAAAGATTACAATTATTAAATCATTTTTTTTGTTTGTTTTAAAGATTAGCTTTCCCAACATCTAACGCTTACTTAATATTATTGTAAAATAGGGGGAAGATAAGCACAATTAACCTTGTAGCCTGACATTTGAAGTAAAAAATAAAAAAAATTTATGGTTTATTAAAGTTTATTAAAGCATTAGACAAAATATATATTTTAAAAAATCTTTTAAAAAAGCAACAAAAAATATATATATATATACTTTTTGTTGAGTATTATATTCTATACATAAGGAAAATATGGAGCTTGTACTAATTCAGAGGCCCAAGCTAAACAAAAATATGCTAATTGGAGCATCTTATATTTTTATAGCCAAAAAGTAAGATGAAATTCTGATAGCTTGTAATGTAAATCAATGAGATCTTTATAGCAAACTACTTCTCACTCTGTATCTTCCAATAATGTTTTAGTAAACATTATTGTTTACTAAATGTATATTTGGGGCAAAACATAATGCAATGATGAATGAGACATTCCTCAGAAGTCTGGTGTATCATATTTGATACATTTTTAACATGATTCTAAAAAAAAAAAGTTGTATGGTCAAATAAAACCCAAGTTGCTTCAGTCCATGCAGTAACAATGTAAAAGTTATTACATTCACTTTAAAAAAACAATCAGTAAAGATTTCAAAGCAAAAAGCTACGTTTACCACAACCTACAAAGTAGATATTACTGAAAGGCCTTTTACTTGCTAAAACTGTATCAATCAGTTTTTCAGCAAAACTTTGATCATGTAATTTAGAGGCCTTAGAAGTTTGTGTATCAAATATGATACAGCAGACCTTTAATCTAATAGGGTTAAGTATTCAATATCAGCTGATACATATATATATACAGTATTGATAATCTAATTCAACATGTGTGCACATTTATACACAGCAACAGAGGGCACAGATCTGTTCACGGTGCTGGTGCACGAGCTTGGTCATGCCCTCGGACTGACCCATTCATCCTCACGCCAATCTGTAATGCGTCCATACTACCAGGGGCCCCTAGGAGACCCACTACACTTCAGCCTGGGACATCATGACCTTCAACACATCACAGCCCTTTATGGTAACTGTCATTAAATGTCTTGTTTGGAATCTCTGTTTGGCAGTTACTCTAAGTATCTTTTCTGCATGTGTGTCTGTGTGTGAACTCAGGTAAGAGGGGAAACCATGTTCCAACTGACAGACCTCTTCTTGTGACCGAGGCTCAACTGCGTCCCCGACATGGAGGAGTACACAGACTCACACACATGTACAGACACGCTCACAGCCATTTGGACAGGTAAGAAAGGATCAATTAAACCTTTTGAATTCAACATCAATTCAAAATCAAACTTATATACTTATGCATGTTCTTTATTGTGACAAATACTGGAATACACATACTGGACAGATTTTATAGGAATAACTGGAGAAAAACTGGACATTATATACTAAATGACCAAGGATTACATACTACCAGACTTTCAAGTAGTGTGAAAACTAGTGTGAAACACAGAAACATGAGCCTCGTTGATAAGAGGCACATGACAAATACATTCTGTGTTCCAATATGGACTAAAATATGTTTGATATTTGAAATCCACCAACTCTGACTGCCCAAAATCTGCAGACTGGCTCTGACTTTTGCCAACAAGTACTGAAGAAATATGTGAACAAGAGTCATGTGGTGTATTTATGCTTTAACATAGTAAATAGTAACAAAGTAATGTGATAGTCCACTGTAGGCGAGTGTAGTGATGAATCCCAGGGCAGATTTATTTAAACAAAGTGATCCAAACATAATTCAAACAAACGAAGACTTGACTTAACATGAACAGACTAGACTCACGGACAGCAGGATAAATACATTCAATGCAGACAAAGCACAAAGGCAACATGATGGCTACTTATAGCAAACAATCAGGGTCACATGACAAGAACCAACCAATGAGGAAACAAGACACATGGCTAGGACAACCAATCAGAACATGACACACAGACAAGAGTACCACATGGCAGAATCACATGATAGGGTAGGAAAAACACATGACAGGAACATGAAACAAGGTAAATATAAAAATAAAAGACATGAAAACCTGAACCAGAAACAAAACCCAAAACAGACCTTACATGTAGTAAATTCTGAAAACGGTTTCATGCTGGCTTAAAAGGCGAAAGATGTTTAAAGGGATAGTTCACCCAAAAATTAAAATTCTGTCATCATTTTGAAGGATGTTGGGAAAACAGTTGCCTAAAACCATAGACTTCCAAAGTATTTTTTTCCATACAATGGAAGTCAATGGCTACCCAGCAACTGTTTGGTTACCAGTATTCGTCAAAATATCTTCTTTTGTGTTCAACAGAAGAAAGAAACTCATACAGGTTTGGAACAACTTGAGGGCAAGTAAACTTTCAGAATTTTCATTTTTGGGTAAAATTATACCTTTAAATATTCAAAGTCATGTTTCTTTGTTGTTTTATTTTTTAACCAAAACAAGTTTGTGAAAATGTTCAGTGCATGCTAATGAAGAGAAAAATCATATATTTGATGAAATGTCTCTCTGTCTTAAGTTCTGTGGATCGCTGTAACACCAGTTTTGATGCAGTTGCTAAGATTCGAGGAGAGATCTTCTTCTTTAAAGGTAGATACTTGAAGCTTTAAAACTAATTTACTAAGTTATTTAATATATTAACACTTTATGGAGTTATTTAATATATTAACACTTCCTCCACTTTTAGTGTTGTCATCTTCTTAGTACTCTTGTTATTGTAACACTCTTTATCCATCCAGCCAGTGTCACCATATGGGCAACTGATTTTTTTATATATTTTTCTCCTAATTTTTATGGTCTATCTTACCTTTCCTTATGCATTTTGTAGGGCAGAACATGTGGAGAGTGAGCAGAGGTGGTCTGGTGTCAGTCAGGGCTGTTCCTGTACAGAGACTTTGGTCGGCTCTTCCTTCGTCACTTCCTCCACTGCAAGCGGTTCTGGAAAGACACACGGATCATGCCATCATCTTTCTCAGTGGTCAGTTTCCCAGCACAATCACATCACAAACAATTGTGCACCACACGTTTGAAAGTTATGTAATTTAAAGATATTTATTTTACTTAGCCCCAGTGCAGAGAATAAAAATATGACAGAGGCTAAGTGCAAATTGGGTAAATAGTAGTAAATTACAAGGCGTAAATAGTAGTAAGATGCTATTTTCACTTAGTGTAAATGGCATTGGATGCTAAATCATACTTAGTGGCGGATACTATTTGCACCATAATAGTACAGTTATGAAACAGCATGAATAATATTCATACAACACAAGAACACAACATCCAACTTCTGATCTGTGATATGCAAAGAATGGGATCAGTAAAAGTGGATTCAAACTCGAGTTGATCCACTATCCTTACTTTCCACACCACTATTCCTGTTGCCAGATGTGTTTTTTTTTTTGTTATATTGTCTGGTGGGCAGAGCTAGACTAAATAGCCTTTGCCAACAAGATGGGCTATATGTACTTAACTGTAAAAAAATACCTTATATTTTCACTTAAAAAAAACAAACATTTTTACACCTTTGATTTTTTTTATGTGCAAGACTTGACACCACTCTACTAAACATACATGTGCAGGTTCCCAGGTTTGGCTGTTTAAGGATCTGTCACTCCAAGAGGGTTTCCCTCAGCCTCTGTCTACTCTGGCTCCTGAGGACTCAGAAGGAAGGTGGCAAGGATTGCACTGGGACCCAAAGCAGGGTGTGGTGTGGGGGTCTGTGAAAGAAGATGGAAAGAAAGGAGAGGAAAGCGAAGTCTGGAGAGAGCTCACTGAAGAAGGAGTGAATGGAATTATCATGGAGAATGACGATGAGAGAGAAAGGACTGGAGACTTTAAGGGTGTGTTGCTTCAAGATCTTTAGTTAAAATATATATAATGCTGCATTGTGAATATATGTGTGTGACAGTGTTTTAGAGCGCTACTGATTTTTTAAATTCTCAATATCAATCAGGTTCAACCTACCTTTTCAAAGGCAATTCCTACTGGAAATTTACTCACCCAGGCTCCGCCCCTGAAGAAGGATACCCTCGGCTTCTGGCCACTGATTGGTTGGACTGCCCTCAGCCGTCCTCTTACAGCCCCGGCGACATCTCTTTGATCTCTCACTATGGTCAGCAGGAGCTTCGTGAGCAGAAAGGGCAAAGAATAATCGACCAGATCATTCAAAAAGAAAAAAACGAAAGAGATAAACCTCTTCGCTGGGACTGTCCATGTCTAAACAGTGCAGTGACTCAAAGTGGACCTATTTTACTACTGTCCATTTTATTTCTGATCACTGGGACTTGTTATCCATCACTTTAATATTTTCCACATCCAAATTTACACAGTCATACTCCTTGACTTTCTATCTCTGACTAAAGGAAGTGACTAAAATAGTTGGTAAGAAGATTTATAACAACCATTATACTGAGATTCAATTCTGAGATAAAAAATAAATAAAAACGTTATAGTGTTGTTACATGCAGTTTTACCAAAAAACTGACTTTCTATCTCTGTTAATTCCTGTTTTAGTTGATAAAACTCCTTTTAATGCTATCTTTCATATCAAACCTCATGTAGTATAAAACAAACATCAATAACTGATGTTAATGATTTACAGTTCAGCGTCTGTCAGCTCACTAAAGATTGTGGAGAGTTCAAATAATATTGTGCTAGAATTTAGAAGTGTAATGATATATTCATAGAGTATTTTGATTATGAAGATGCAGAGAGCAAATCACATACAATGATTTATTCATAGTTTCATATCTGATTTATTCATAGTTTTATTTGCTTTTTTCAAATAACGTACTACCGGACGGACGGATGGAAGGATCTGTGAAGATCAGTAAAGTGCCATTTACAGAACAAACTCTATTGTAATTAAATAAAAATGAAAATGCAACGTAAATTTGATTTAATATATTTTATGGATACTATTATTATTAATATATTTTATAAATACAATTTTTGTTTATCAATTTTCTCAATTTTCTTTTTTAAACATGTACCTAAAGACTATATCAATAAAAAGAAAAATAAGAACATTATTTTATTTCACAATTATTTGCATATTGTGTCACCTCGGGAATTACCGGATCCCTAAAGTCCACAATTTTACCCATTTAATTCATTTCAATTTACTGGCACTGGCATCACAAAAAAAGCAAACTGTTGCATCACTTCAGAACATCCAGATGATAATATGTGATAAGCTGTTCTATATAAAGTACTTGTTCTCCAGGTGATGCAGCATAATAATCTGACATCCTCTTCTGAAGTTCTATAATGTCTACTTCGGTGGTCTTGACTGCTCTTTTGGGCCTGTTTAGTTTGAGTCAGGCATCTCTGCCAGACTGTAAGGAGCTCATAACACCGCTAACCCTGGAGGATGACAACAAAAGTGTAAGTGCATTATATTAATATATTTTAGAGCAAATATTCTTTTATAGTAAATTAACGCTATACTGGAGATTATATAAGGGGCTTAGATTTCACAACTTCTTTTCTCTTCCAAATAGATCATGGGTAAATGGATCTTCCTTGAAGGCATAGCTGATCACCACTTATTTACAGCTATCTTGAAGACTGTGAACAGCTCATGGGTAGAGTTTGGCCCAAGCACTCTTGCAAACACTTTAACCCTCAGTCAAGGGAACATGCTGTAAGACTGGCCCATTTATAACATGTTTTGCTAATCTGAATGAATTTCATCATGATGGCCAGCAATCTGAATCTGGTATCTCTCTCCCTCTCAGAAACGGAAAGTGTGAATTTAGCACCATCAACGGAACTGTTAAAGATAATGATTTTTATTCCAATGGTAAGTTAACAAAAGCTTATTTCAGCTAAAACTCATGGGTTCTGAGCACTAATGAGTGTTATGCTGGTTTTTGATCCACAGAGAATGGCACAATATCAGAGGGCAAGTTCTTGCCGTCCTGTCCTGACTGTACCACCATAAGCTTCATCAGCCAATTCAAAAATGAGACTATAAAGTCTCTCTACTTTTTCAGTAAGTCACAAAATCCATATTACATCATGTTAAAATTATGTATTACATGATATTCTTTTTTCTTCTTCTTCGCTCCCGCAGAGAGAGAGAGCAACCCAGCCCAGTCTGACATGGACACCTACTGGAAGCAAGCTGAGTGTCTTGGATTCAAAAGAGAAACCCAATACTCCTATGATGGAGTAACAGGTCAGTTTCAAGTATGTTTTCATTGGAAGCAACAGCTATTAGTAATGATTGCGAGAAAACAGCTCCTGGTCATGTGAGATTCAGTATCACATATGTGTAAAACATGATTTCAGATACAGATCTGTCAAGAACATGTCCATGTCATAATTTAACCCCCAAATCAAAAAGAAATCTGAATTAATTGACACTGAATTAATTGCAAAAACATTGCACATTAAGAAAACTGAGTTTTTTTTCTTCTTCTTCTTCTTCTTCCTCTGTTATTGCAGAACTCTGTGACCATTCATCTGAACAGAAGCCAAGTTTGGACAAATCAGATCAATAATGCATGGATACATTAAACATTTTTATGCAAACAAAATTCGTAAGAGCCACCGTGACAAGAAAAACAACATGTGAAAGTGAAATTGAATAAAGAATATTTGCTATTTATTATTGTATATGTGAGTGTTTAATAATAACAAAAATTCACATTCATACCTGTTCCATGCTTTAAATCAGAAAACAAATTATTATAAATATGGCTGTGTGGTTATGTTCAGTATTTTTTGGGATTGTTCTCATTTCTAAAAGCTCATGGTCATTCTGACAGGGCTGTTTCCCAGTTGCCCGAAGTTTTGCCCATTCAAATTCATTCCAATTAAATAGAATTCAAAGAACCTATTGCATCACTTCAGGGGAAAAACAGTACTATGTACCTGGACTATTTACTTGATCCACACAGCATAATCCTCTTCTGAAGTTCTACAATGTCTACTTCGGTGGTCTTGACTGCTCTTTTGGGCCTGTTCAGTTTGAGTTTCAGTAAGGAGCTCATAACACCACTAACCCTGAAAGATGACAACAAAAGTGTAAGTGCATTATATTAATATATTTGAGAGCACATATTCTTTGATAGTAAATGAACACAACAAGGAAACAAGGAACATTTATTTTCTTCCAAACAGAATAGATAAATAGGTCATAGTTGATAACCACTAATTTACATATTTACCCCAAATTTACTTCAAAAATAGATAAATATAAATAAATACCAGGAAATTCGATTTGTGATGTTCTTTATTTAATGCAATTCAAATTAATGTACTGAATAATTCTCTATTAAAAGGAGACTATTCTTAAATTCTGAATTTTGTAAATTCATTTTGTTTACAATAGATCATGGGTAAATGGATTGTCCTTGAACGAGTTGCTGATCACCAGCTATTTATAAACATCCTGAAGACTGTGAACAGATTGTGAATTCACTTTCATTAAAAGTAATTTTTCAGAGCCTCTAAATGTTAAAAATAATGGCTATCAAATATACTGTAATGTTGAATGGCAATAATTAATGGCTAAAATTGAGGGGGAAATGCATTTAATAGAAGCATCAGTAGCAGTGTTGGTATCAATGATACTGGTCTTCAATAATAAGAGGCTACTTGGTAAAAAGATGCCTATAATCGCATATTTAAAATATACCATCGATTGACAGCACTAAAATAAACATGTGTAAAACATGATTTCAGATATAGAAGTTAGGCTAAATCTCACAAATCTGTCAAGAACATGTCCGGGTCATAATATAACCCCCAAATCAAAAAGAAATTAACTTAAATTAACTGACAACAAATAAATTACATACACTGTACAAATTATTGTCAGTTTAACTGTAAAAGATTGTAAATGCTAAAATTGTAAAATTGGGATAGTTCCCCCAAAAATGAAAATTCTGTCATTAATTACTCACACCCACCCATTATTTCACCCACACCTTAGTTAAATAACCATAACAAAAAAAGCTTCTGATAATTTATACATTCTCTTTTGAATAGGCTTACCTATCTATTTCACATGACAAGTCAAATGCATAATTTGGATCAACAGATGTTTAAAATGGAATTAAAGTAATTAAGAAATAAATAAATCTGTTATGCTTTTATCAACACTAAAACAAATATAAAGAAGGATCTTTATACCTCCACCTCCAACTAGTAAGAAAACTAGCAAAACTACTAAGGCAAAACTAGTAAGAGGTTCACGTTTTCAGTGTTGTTAGGGATTGCACCCCTAGGTGTCACTTTTTCCACATACAATCCTTCACTGAGTCAGAAAGCTCCAGATCATTCTTATATATGACCAAACAGTCACCATTAAATGAACATTTACAGATGAAGAACAGTTATAAACCAGCTTAAACCAAACCAGCGTCTGACTGTGACCAGTACTATAGTTCCATGATTACACTATAAAATAAGAGGACTGAATTAGAAGGTTCTCTTGTCTTGTTATTACTTGAAAAAAATATAACGTTTTCATCGTAATGTAAAATGTCCATGTGTTTTTATTTAGGTAGGCCTAATAGCGCTCGACATTAATTTACAGTTCACGGGATAGTTCTAAACTACTTTAGCCTACATTGAAGCAGACAGCCTACACATAACAATGTTATATCAAAATCTGAGACAAATAGGTAATCTGCCAGACGTTTAAACGCAATGTGTGAAAATGAAGACTACTGTCAGCCGCGTCGACCGGATGAATATTCATGAGCGGGACAGGTGGAGGATGGAACTGCTGCGGTTTGGAGGTGTGAGCGGATTACAGCGAAGTTCCTCGTGTGCCATCAAGACATCAGCTGACAACACGATTCGTGACTATTCGTGTAGCTGGCCTGGTCTCAGAAAGTAGCATGCATTTCAAAAGGATTTTCGTCCAATTGTGACACTTTTCCAGTTCACCCAGACGTCGCGGGGAAGAAGCAACTAATAACCTTTCTTACTTGTTATATCTTGAGGGTTTAGCCTTCTCAATAGTAGCCTAGTATTCTGGTATTTCTGTGGACTGAGATGAGATGAGGTCCTGGCATGGCAAACTGTTCTTCTTCGCGGGTTTTGTATGTGTGTTGATGTTAACCTCGTGGCACACATCAAAGTCAGGTGAGCGTGATCAGCCTGGTAGGATGGCCTATGAAATATTCGGATTGATTATTCGGAATTTGCATTTATGAACTGGTTGCTTGTTTTTATTGTTTGACAGTTTATGTACTGACATTTTGGACTTGAAGGAGTTGTTGAGAGATGCATTTCTGAGAGATTCTATGACATGACATGTTTAGTTATTTCTTTAGTTAGTCCTCAATCAGTTGTCAACCTGTCAGACGTGCAATGCCAGCTTCCTGTACGCCGGACAAACTGGTATTGCAGGAATTCTTTCCATATGTGCCCCCTGGACCACAAAACCAGTCTTAAGTTGCACAGGTATATTTGTAGCAATAGCCAAAAATACATTGTATGGGTCAAAATTATTGATTTTTCTTTTATGCCAAAAATCATTAGGATATTAAGTAGAGATCATGTTCAATGAAGATATTTTGTACATTTCCTACCGTAATTATATCAAAACTACATTTTTGATAAGTAATATGCATTGCTAAGGACTTTAAAGGCGATTTTCTCAATATTTAGATTTTTGTGCACCCTCAGATTCCAGATTTTCAAATAGTTGTATCTCGGCCAAATATTGTCCTATCCTAACAAACCATACATCAATGGAAAGCTTATTCATTCAGCTTTCAGAATTGTATAAAGCTCCATTTAAAAAAAAAAAAGACCCTTATGACTGGTTTTGTGGTCTAGGGTCACATATTTGTTTGTTTTTTCATGCGAGTCAGTAAATACTACAATAGATGGACGAACATTTTAAAAAGGTGATTTCTGGTTCTGGTTTTTAAATATTGTCAACAATCTGTTAGAGCAATAATGTTTTAATAAAACAATAAAATGTTGATAGATTGCAATGTGACATCTCAAGTGAAATGTTATGTGACCCTGGACCACAAAACCAGTCATAAGGGCCAGCTTTTTGAAAGTGAGATTTATACACATGAAAGCTGAATAAATAAGCTTTCCATTGATGCGTGTTTTTTTATTTTTAGGATAGGACAATATTTGGCCGAGATACAACTATTTGAACATCTTGAATTTGATGGTGCAAAAAAAATCTAAATATTGAGAAAAATCACATTTAAATATTTCCAAATGAAGTTCTTAGTAATGCATATTACTAATCAGAAATTAGGTTTTGATATATTTACGGTAGAAAATGTACTAAATATATTCATGTAACATGATCTTTACTTAATATTCTAATGATTTTGGCATAAAAGAAAAATCGATAATTTTTACCCATACAATGTATTGTTGACTATTGCTACAAATATACCCGTACTACTTAAGACTGGTATTGTGCTCCAGGGTCACATATTAGCTTATATTATATTGTATTATAAAGGTAACATGATTGAAAAACCCTGCGCTTCAGTGTAGAAATTAGATGAAATCATATGCCCAACAACAACTAAATGCATCACGGCAAAACAGCTTTGAGTTTCTGTAGGCAGCAATTAAACATGATGACTGATATAAATTGTACCATATGCACATTTCCATTGGAATGTAAGTTCCTCTAGGAACCACGATTTTCCCTTTTTTCAAACTAATTATTTTTAGAAGTAATTAATTTATGTGGTGATCAACATTATGCCACAAATGCTGTTGCAAGGCTTAACTTAACTTGTTTTCAGCCCTGAAACATCCTTTTAATTCACATCAAGTGATGACTGGCACTCTGTGTATCAGATAACTTGCCATCGCAGCTGCATTTGGTCTATGAGAGGTTACTGCGGGCAGAACAACGAGGGGAGGTCTTATCACAAGAGCTGCTTAAAGTGCTTGGTCAACTTCAAAACCGCAGCATTGCTCCATCGAATATCACAATCAGTAACTCCTCAGGTGAGTCCAAGCACTTTTCTTGCTGTAATATCCGTGTCTGTTCAGTTATTCAGTATTTTATCTGCCATTTTAGCTTTATTAGAAGAGAGGGTCCTTCGGCGCTTGTTGCCTTCGCAGCCTAATGCCCACATCTACTTGCCTCACCTGAAGGAGCATGAGGGCAGTCTGAAACCCATCGTTCATCTGGGGCAGCGACGCACTGGAGGTCTGTCTCTCATTATCAACTTTTGTGATTGTATTGTTACAGTGCTTGCAATGTAGCAATTGAATTTGATTTAAACATACTTGTCATAAGTAATATTGATGTCTTACTGTGTTAAACTTCTATTAAGGGGAAAAAAAACAAGTGTATATTTTGCATAAGAAGCTTAAGATCTAAATTTCCGATCCACAAAATGTAACCACAAGCAATGATATCATTGTAATATTTACATACTTAATTTTGATTGGCCTTCTTTTCTATACCTCTTTGCATACTGAATTTTGCTCTTTGCTTTCGTGTGTCTCTTAAATCAGCTATAGCTGCTGGTACACTGCAAATATTGTTTATGCACCTTCTGAGTGTCATGAAAGCAGCAAAGCATCACAGCTGCAGCATTTTATTTGGAAGCCTAATTAACCCTTTAAATGCAAGTAACTGTGTATTTGACTCTGTGTAGTCTCCCAGATGCTGTCAGATCCGGAGTGATAGAGGTGATCTCTCCATCTCCTCACTATTACCCAGACTTTAGTAACCTGAAGGAAACGTTTGGAGACCCCAAGGAGCGAGTCAGGTTAGAGATTCTCCTCTTGTGCAAATGTAACTTGAAATATATGGTGTCTTAATTGTGAAGCATGTTTTACTGATCATAGATGGAGGACCAAGCAGAACCTTGACTACAGTTTCCTCATGCTGTATGCGCAGTCTAAGGGCACATACTACGTCCAGGTAATGCCAAAGACACTGTCTTACAACTTAATGTTAGCTCTATGTTTCATTGACTTTATCAGTCTGAGCCTGTGCATATGTGTTTCAGCTTGAGGATGATATTGTAGCAAAGCAAGGATTCTTTCAGTCCATGAAAAAATATATAGAGCAGGTGCTTTCCGAGGAGTGGCTTTTCCTGGAGTTTTCCCAGCTGGGATTCATTGGTCAGTGTCTTGTCCTGTCCTGTCTTTTTCTGACCTCTCTCATTCTCTTCTCTCCCACCATTTCTGTTTGGTCATAATTAATAGTAATTATAATAGTAAGTACATGTAACATGTGTAACAAGGACACCTTAAAATAAAGTGTTACCAAAAAATCGTAATGATCCCAAACTTTTCAACGATAGTGTTCTTTGTTATTTTCATTGATAAGTATTTTCATTCTTCTCTTAGACAAATGCAACATTTGTGAATGCTGTTGTCCAGACTGTACAGACCAAGTGAGTGTTTCATTATTTACTCGTCTGCTTCATGAGAGATCTTTAAACTCGCTGTGCAAGTAACTGTGTATTTGACTCTGTGTAGTCTCCCAGATGCTGTCAGATCCGGAGTGATAGAGGTGATCTCTCCTTCTCCTCACTATTACCCAGACTTTAGTAACCTGAAGGAAACGTTTGGAGACCCCAAGGAGCGAGTCAGGTTAGAGATTCACCTCTTGTGCAAATGTAACTTGAAATATATGGTGTCTTAATTGTGAAGCATGTTTTACTGATCATAGATGGAGGACCAAGCAGAACCTTGACTACAGTTTCCTCATGCTGTATGCGCAGTCTAAGGGCACATACTACGTCCAGGTAATGCCAAAGACACTGTCTTACAACTTAATGTTAGCTCTATGTTTCATTGACTTTATCAGTCTGAGCCTGTGCATATGTGTTTCAGCTTGAGGATGATATTGTAGCAAAGCAAGGATTCTTTCAGTCCATGAAAAAATATATAGAGCAGGTGCTTTCCGAGGAGTGGCTTTTCCTGGAGTTTTCCCAGCTGGGATTCATTGGTCAGTGTCTTGTCCTGTCCTGTCTTTTTCTGACCTCTCTCATTCTCTTCTCTCCCACCATTTCTGTTTGGTCAGTTCTTTCATTTGTCTGCTGTTTTGTTATTTGTACACCTGGACCAGTTGTTCATTGTTAGTCGTGCGGTCTCAGTTGTGAATGCAATTTTATGGTCTTTATTTTTACAGTAGCGATGAGATATCTTTTATTAGTCAGTGTTAAGAGGGTCAGAAATAAAAAGGAAGGAAATATGAGCCCTCTTTGTTTAAAAAAACACAGCTTCTGCTAGCATTTGCTTATTTACATATTTGCCTTTAAAATAATTCAGTTCAGATCCTCTTGATTATTCAAATAATCAACCAGTTTTTCTCAGAGTAGCATCGGATTTCAAGGAACATTGTCAGTGTCTCACAGCTCCCATAGATACTGTTTACTATGACCAAATCTATTTGTGGCCTAGCATGAAATTGAGTATATCGCTCATTTTTCATATTCTAGGCAAGCTTTTCCGCACATCAGATCTGCCAATGATTGTGGAGTTCTTCCTGATGTTTCACAAAGACAAGCCAATCGATTGGCTGCTCGATCACATCCTGTGGGTTAAAGTGTGTAACCCAGAGAAAGATTTAGTAAGTTTGAATATAATATTTACTTTATTTATTTGTTTGTGAGATCGGTGTAAGACATTTCATTGTTTATTATTATAATTCATTGCACTTAGAAACACTGCAATAATGAGAAGGCCCGACTGAAGAGAGCTTACAAACCCTCCCTGTTTCAGCATGTCGGTTTGCATTCCTCACTGCCCGGTAAAATTCAAAACCTAAAGGTAATTCAAACTTCCTCTTCCTTGTATGAAGATTTAAGGTCTCGTTTTAGTTAACTATAACTAAAACTGAAACCATAAAAACAAAGTTACTTGAAATAAAAAACATTAACTGAAATAAAAAAAAATGTAAATACATAAATAAAACACTTATTTTATTTCAGCTAGTTGCCAAGGCAAAATTTCTCATTTTCATTTAGTTTAACGTTTAGTTCAATGAATTAAAAAAAACTAAAAATTAAAAAACTTTTATAAAAACGAAAATTTTATGAAAAAAACACAACAAAGTTAATAATACTTTAACTAAATTTAAAATGAAAATGGGGAATAAAAAAATGAAAACCTATTCAAAATATGAATAAAACTATAATAGTATAATGCAAGATGAATTTCTAGTAGAATAGTGGCCACCTAAACTCTCTTAACAGTACTATGGGTCTGTAGGGGTAGACAGCAGCTTATCTACATTGCAAACAGAACATTTACATTATTTATATTAGCACATTCTATTTCCATAACGACTTACAAATTTGTAATAACACAACTCATGTCATTTATCTTAAAGGTGAAGTGTCTCATTTCTGGTGTGCAAATGGTACCATTATTTATTAAAATTTTTTTGCATGTACATTTGTTCTCTATTTTGGGAAGTCATCCAACCAGTGGGTTACATGTAGTTCACTCAGTAAAAATAAACAGGGCAATGAGGAAGGATTTTAATGTCCAAGATAATTACACACTTCACTTTTAAAGAAACAGTCCCATTAAAAGTGCTGCAAAACAAAGTTCCCAATGTGTCCAGAATAAAAATATTTAAAAGCTAGCTTGTTTTTGTCAGGAACCAAAATGCAGAACATCTAAACTGTACTCAAAAGGTCTTTATTAAAAAAATAAAAAATCTACATAAAAACCACCAAACACAATCTCAAGACAGAAGAGCACACAGCAAATGAATATAAACATAAGCGTGTGCTCTACAGAAAACAAGACTCAATACAGACGAAAGTGCCCGGAGCCTGAATGTCAGGATCCCAAGACTAAAACCAATGTAGACAGGATTGTCAGGATCCAGACACCAAGCCCCAAACACAATACATATACAAAAGAATGCAGTGCCCAGAGAGCAATCCCTGAACTCTTACACTCACACAAGGACAAGAAAGAACAATACAACACAGGATCCTGTCACTAAATCAACAGCCAGACCAACCGAAGTGATAGGACTCCCACATTTTTTTTGTGTACTTCACATGATACCTATGTAGAGCGTTCCAAATCACTCACTTATTAGGTTCTATTTCAGTTATAAATCTGTGTAGACAATATACAGCAAGTCAGCTCACTAGGTTTTGAAACAGCACTTATGTGTATATCTGTGTATATCTTTATGTGATTACAGGATAAAGACTTTGGAAATCAAGTGCTGTTCAAAGGCCACTATAACCCGCCAGCAGAACTCAGCAGCAGTCTAGAGAAATATCAGTCTCACACTCTGGAGAGAGCTTACAACGGAGACGACTTCTTCTGGGGCCTCACACCTAAAAGAGGAGATTACATCCTCATTACTTTTACCACACCTCAAGCTGTCAAAGGGTGAGACACCAGTACAGAACATTAATTTGATGAGTATACAAAGTGTAACAGGCAATCTTGTTAAAGTTCCAGCATGTATATCCAGTTTGTGTATCAACAGCAAATGAAAATTCAGTCATCATTTACCCTCATGTCGTTACAAAACTCAAAAATAGGATATTTTGAAAAGTGTTTTATTCAGTGAAGTCCAGTGTCGTTTAAAATCTTCTTTTGTGTTCTGCAGAAAGTCACACAGGCATAATTTTGGGTAACCTATCCCTTTATCTGTGAAAGTAAACTCGATATGGCTTGATATGTTTAGGGGAGTTTACTTACAGTATGCATTGTAAATATCTCTTTACGTGGATATATAAATAGAAGTAAAAACCCAATGGCAGTGTAAATGTACCCAGCTGTCTGCTTGTGAGTTTGCCCTGCTGAAAGAATGTGAACCAATGGCTTCTGTTTCAGTTCCTCTGAGCAGGATATTTTATACTGGCCATGTTTCTTTAGGAGCTGAACACATGGTGACTGCAATCTTTCAAAATTGCCTTTAAGCACACACATAGGAGTTAATTTGATTCCATTTGACAGCTTCCCAAAAACTAAGTTAAGATCTAAATCTGGTTAGTTGACATTTGAGGAAGGTGTTGTAAAGAAATCTGAACTTTCTCACTTAACTTCACATCTGAACTAACAGGCAATCTTGTTAAAGTTCCAGCATGTATGTCCAGTTTGTGTATCAACAGCAAATGAAAATTCAGTCATCATTTACCCTCATGTCGTTACAAAACTCAAAAATAGGATATTTTGAAAAGTGTTACAATTTTTATTCAGTGAAGTCCAGTGTCGTTTAAAATCTTCTTTTGTGTTCTGCAGAAAGTCACACAGGCATAATTTTGGGTAACCTATCCCTTTATCTGTGAAAGTAAACTCGATATGGCTTGATATGTTTAGGGGAGTTTACTTACAGTATGCATTGTAAATATCTCTTTACGTGGATATATAAATAGAAGTAAAAACCCAATGGCAGTGTAAATGTACCCAGCTGTCTGCTTGTGAGTTTGCCCTGCTGAAAGAATGTGAACCAATGGCGTCTGTTTCAGTTCCTCTGAGCAGGATATTTTATACTGGCCATGTTTCTTTAGGAGCTGAACACATGGTGACTGCAATCTTTCAAAATTGCCTTTAAGCACACACATAGGAGTTAATTTGATTCCATTTGACAGCTTCCCAAAAACTAAGTTAAGATCTAAATCTGGTTAGTTGACATTTGAGGAAGGTGTTGTAAAGAAATCTGAACTTTCTCACTTAACTTCACATCTGAACTTACCGTCTTCATGAAATCATGGATAATGGGTGCATCTGTCACTTGACAAAGAGTGATGTAATGAGCCCAGAGAAATTCCTGGTTGTTTTTTGAAATGCAGCAGACCGACTCTTTGACTTGTTAAACAAATTCCACTGATGCTACAGAAACAAGGGATTGTTTAAGCTACATACATAACTTACAAAACCACCTATTCATTTTGTAGTTTGTAACTATCAACTGCATCTGTGGCATTAGAAACATTTCAACTCCGATAGCAAAAACAATGTGTTGACACAAATAGACATACAGTGAATCTTCTATTGACTGATTTAATGTTTTTATATTTTTGTTCCTCTCACTTCTAGGTACTTTTTTCGATCTGGCAATATTGAGACAAATGGTGACAGGTTTTACAACACAACAGTGGAGGTGCTCCCTAATAATGTAAGTGTCATGCCAAAAGTGATTTAAAAAAAACCCATCGGGCTCAAAAAATGACAGATCTGCTTTCAGCAAATAAAGAGCATCAGTAAAAAAAAAAAAGGTCTATATACACTACCATTCAAAAGTTTGGGAAAACAGAATTAATTTTTTATTGTTTTTGAATGAAGTTTGCTTACCAAAGCTGCATTTATTTGATCAAAAATACAGTAAAAACAGTAATAGTGTGAAATATGTATTACATTTAAAAAACCTGTTTTCTAATTTAATGTATTTTAAAATGTAATTTATTCCTGTGATGGCAAAGCCGAATTTTCAGCAGCCATTACACCAGTCTTCAGTGTCACATGAACCTTCTGACATGCTGATTTGGTGCTCAAACATTTCATAACATATAATTATCAGTGTTCAAAACAGCGAACAGCTGTACTGAAACCAAGATAATATATTTTGGGGATTCTTTGATAAAAAAGAAAGCTCAAAACAACATTTATTTGACAAAGAAAGCTTTTGTAACTTTGAAAATGTCTGTACTATCAATTTATTGGATCCTTGTTGAACAAAAGTATTAAAAACATCTTACTGACTTTTGACGTTTGAATGTTTGAACATTTGAATGGTAGTGCAAACCTTTAAAGACAGACCATGAGGTTCTGTTAAAGAATCAGTAAAAAAAACTGCCAAATTCTAGGTGAAGGACTACACTACCCATGAAACCTAAAGAGAACAACCCACCAATCAGAATCACAACAAATCAGGGAGAAAGAGCTCAGTGGTGACCACGCTCTCCTATGAAACATTGTAAATGACGTAATTGAGTCTCCCTACTTGGTACACTCCCTAATAGTTTTATATTGTTTCGATATCTTTTATTTTATTACGGCATTTTTTATGAGACTGTAATTCATTCCTTTATAAAAGATGAAAAGCACACAATCTTTAAGTTCACTTTTCTTATACTTGTTCATCCCAGAACTGGTTGGTTTGCTTTATGACAGTTTGTATAATAGTTTGGTTTTTTTTAAACCCCTTAAACACTTTAATGTCTTAAATACTTGAAATCCCTTAAATACTTCCAGAACCAAAGCTGCACAAAAAATGAGCGGATTCAGTTTGTGTGACTATGTTGGTATTCTCATAGCTTTAGACATTGCATTGTATCTTAGAACGTACGTGACTACACCCTTTTTCTAAGTGTACATTTGTATTAATTTGCTTGTCGTGATGGGTCCTTGCCCCTGTGCATGCTAGCCATGTAAACATTTCTAAGACAACAGAAAACTGACACACAAAACCACATTTGTGTTCTTTGCAGGGTTTGAGATCGTGTTTAAGTTCAAACTTTACCTCAAACCTATTAGATGAGGATTTTTGTACATACTTCCTGATATGTCCATTCTTTTCATTTCCATTGAAGTATAAAGTGTTGACAGGTACATGTCTGTGTTTTACAGAACTCTGTGAAAGAGAAGGTCACTAGAGGAGAATTGGCCTGCTGTAAAACCTCATCTGATGGCTTTGTTCAGATAGGTACTCAATCATCATTGATTTCATGTTTCTCGTCTTTCCTTTTCTGTCACTCATTTGTAAGATTTTGCATAAATACATTTAGATGAAGTGCAATCATTTGTTTGTCAGTGAACTAAGAATTTCAAGTACCGTAAGTGATACTTTGATACATCATAAAAAAAACTATGTGATGATAGTTAGAAATGAGTTGTAAAATTAGCTGTGACGATAATCATGATAATTACAGGAAACTCTAAAATGAGTTGGCCAGCGTGTCTTGTGAACACGTCTGTTAACACAAGTTTTAGGTTTGGGTATCAAAAACCGGTTCAGAACTGGTTTGGTTTTTTCCATTAAAGAGCTGAATGATTTTCGTGATGTCGGTTTCATTCACAGTTCTTGAATGGCTGCATTTTTCCACTAGTGTGGAGCACTAAGTGTAGTGAATCTATGACAGCATGCTTCTTGAATCAGTACTGAATCTATTGCACCTGGCAAAAGAAAGTTGTTGTTTTTTTCATTGTGACATAACTCGATATGGCTTGATATGTTTAGGGGAGTTTACTTACAGTATGCATTGTAAATATCTCTTTACGTGGATATATAAATAGAAGTAAAAACCCAATGGCAGTGTAAATGTACCCAGCTGTCTGCTTGTGAGTTTGCCCTGCTGAAAGAATGTGAACCAATGGCGTCTGTTTCAGTTCCTCTGAGCAGGATATTTTATACTGGCCATGTTTCTTTAGGAGCTGAACACATGGTGACTGCAATCTTTCAAAATTGCCTTTAAGCACACACATAGGAGTTAATTTGATTCCATTTGACAGCTTCCCAAAAACTAAGTTAAGATCTAAATCTGGTTAGTTGACATTTGAGGAAGGTGTTGTAAAGAAATCTGAACTTTCTCACTTAACTTCACATCTGAACTTACCGTCTTCATGAAATCATGGATAATGGGTGCATCTGTCACTTGACAAAGAGTGATGTAATGAGCCCAGAGAAATTCCTGGTTGTTTTTTGAAATGCAGCAGACCGACTCTTTGACTTGTTAAACAAATTCCACTGATGCTACAGAAACAAGGGATTGTTTAAGCTACATACATAACTTACAAAACCACCTATTCATTTTGTAGTTTGTAACTATCAACTGCATCTGTGGCATTAGAAACATTTCAACTCCGATAGCAAAAACAATGTGTTGACACAAATAGACATACAGTGAATCTTCTATTGACTGATTTAATGTTTTTATATTTTTGTTCCTCTCACTTCTAGGTACTTTTTTCGATCTGGCAATATTGAGACAAATGGCGACAGGTTTTACAACACAACAGTGGAGGTGCTCCCTAATAATGTAAGTGTCATGTCAAAAGTGATTTTAAAAAAAACCATCGGGCTCAAAAAATGACAGATCTGCTTTCAGCAAATAAAGAGCATCAGTAAAAAAAAAAAAGGTCTATATACACTACCATTCAAAAGTTTGGGAAAACAGAATTAATTTTTTATTGTTTTTGAATGAAGTTTGCTTACCAAAGCTGCATTTATTTGATCAAAAATACAGTAAAAACAGTAATAGTGTGAAATATGTATTACATTTAAAAAACCTGTTTTCTAATTTAATGTATTTTAAAATGTAATTTATTCCTGTGATGGCAAAGCCGAATTTTCAGCAGCCATTACACCAGTCTTCAGTGTCACATGAACCTTCTGACATGCTGATTTGGTGCTCAAACATTTCATAACATATAATTATCAGTGTTCAAAACAGCAAACAGCTGTACTGAAACCAAGATAATATATTTTTGGGATTCTTTGATAAAAAAGAAAGCTCAAAACAACATTTATTTGACAAAGAAAGCTTTTGTAACTTTGAAAATGTCTGTACTATCAATTTATTGGATCCTTGTTGAACAAAAGTATTAAAAACATCTTACTGACTTTTGACGTTTGAATGTTTGAACATTTGAATGGTAGTGCAAACCTTTGAAGACAGACCATGAGGTTCTGTTAAAGAATCAGTAAAAAAACTGCCAAATTCTAGGTGAAGGACTACACTACCCATGAAACCTAAAGAGAACAACCCACCAATCAGAATCACAACAAATCAGGGAGAAAGAGCTCAGTGGTGACCACGCTCTCCTATGAAACATTGTAAATGACGTAATTGAGTCTCCCTACTTGGTACACTCCCTAATAGTTTTATATTGTTTCGATATCTTTTATTTTATTACGGCATTTTTTATGAGACTGTAATTCATTCCTTTATAAAAGATGAAAAGCACACAATCTTTAAGTTCACTTTTCTTATACTTGTTCATCCCAGAACTGGTTGGTTTGCTTTATGACAGTTTGTATAATAGTTTGGTTTTTTTTAAACCCCTTAAACACTTTAATGTCTTAAATACTTGAAATCCCTTAAATACTTCCAGAACCAAAGCTGCACAAAAAATGAGCGGATTCAGTTTGTGTGACTATGTTGGTATTCTCATAGCTTTAGACATTGCATTGTATCTTAGAACGTACGTGACTACACCCTTTTTCTAAGTGTACATTTGTATTAATTTGCTTGTCGTGATGGGTCCTTGCCCCTGTGCATGCTAGCCATGTAAACATTTCTAAGACAACAGAAAACTGACACACAAAACCACATTTGTGTTCTTTGCAGGGTTTGAGATCGTGTTTAAGTTCAAACTTTACCTCAAACCTATTAGATGAGGATTTTTGTACATACTTCCTGATATGTCCATTCTTTTCATTTCCATTGAAGTATAAAGTGTTGACAGGTACATGTCTGTGTTTTACAGAACTCTGTGAAAGAGAAGGTCACTAGAGGAGAATTGGCCTGCTGTAAAACCTCATCTGATGGCTTTGTTCAGATAGGTACTCAATCATCATTGATTTCATGTTTCTCGTCTTTCCTTTTCTGTCACTCATTTGTAAGATTTTGCATAAATACATTTAGATGAAGTGCAATCATTTGTTTGTCAGTGAACTAAGAATTTCAAGTACCGTAAGTGATACTTTGATACATCATAAAAAAAACTATGTGATGATAGTTAGAAATGAGTTGTAAAATTAGCTGTGACGATAATCATGATAATTACAGGAAACTCTAAAATGAGTTGGCCAGCGTGTCTTGTGAACACGTCTGTTAACACAAGTTTTAGGTTTGGGTATCAAAAACCGGTTCAGAACTGGTTTGGTTTTTTCCATTAAAGAGCTGAATGATTTTCGTGATGTCGGTTTCATTCACAGTTCTTGAATGGCTGCATTTTTCCACTAGTGTGGAGCACTAAGTGTAGTGAATCTATGACAGCATGCTTCTTGAATCAGTACTGAATCTATTGCACCTGGCAAAAGAAAGTTGTTGTTTTTTTCATTGTGACATGTGCTTTCATTTGAGCTGGTCAGGAAGACTTGTGACTCAGTTGAAATTGTTCCAACGTTTCTCTCATTTGCTTAATTAGTGTGGTTCTCACTCCCTGAAACTCAAGCCATTACTTTTGTCATGTTTACATTTGTTTCAATTTGTACACTACCATTCAAAGGTTTTTTGAAAGATATGATTCTTTTATTCAGCAGGGATGCATTAAATTGATCAAAAGTGGCAGTTACAAAAGGAATACAAATGTATTCCAAATAAATGTAGTTTTTTTTTACTTTCTATTCATCAAAAAAATAAATGAAATCACAGTTTCAACAAAAATATTTAGTAGTACTGTTTTCAACATTGATAATAATAAGAAATGATTCCTAAACACCAAATCAGTATTTTAAAATGACTTCCAAACGATCATTTGACACTGAGGACTGGAGTAATTTAAAAATATATGAAAATATAATAATTGTAATGCTATTTCACAATATTACTGCTTTTATTGTGATTTTTAATCAAATAAATGCAGTTTTGGTGAGCATAAGAGACTGTATAGGACTTGTTACTGGAAGAAACGGAAATCTAAACTTTATTACAATTATTAAGAATCAGGAAATCTAGCTGGTTTTAGAATCAACCACTAAAATGTTGTTTTTTTCATGACAACGCTATAATAAACAAGCATTACTGATTTCTGGATCCAATTTAATGGCGCATCAGCCATGACATTGTATTTTATGGATGTTAATGATCAAACAAGCTTAGCAGACACATCAGACAGCTTATCTGTAATGCACACACACTCGCTTTTTTCATCCCTTTGGACAAACCGCCGTAAGAAACATGAGCTCAAATGTGGTTATGTAAAAATGTGAGCATGCTTGGCCATTGTCTTGAGACCAGGATGTGTGTGAGTGTGAAAACCAGCATCAAAATGTGGTTTAAACCTGTCATGCAATCTTGTCGATTGAAAGAGGTCAGGTGGTTTCTGTTTAATTTGTGATGTCACAAATGTCTGTTTTCTTAGGGTCTTTCAAGAATGGAGTGGCTGAGGGAGAAGTGGATGGAGCATTAGGACAAATAGTGGCCATGCGACTCCATGTTCACTCTGATTCTGACGTCTGGGTCCTTCTCAGTGAGGTGAACCACATTCATATCATTTATAAATAACCCTTAGAAACAGGCCTCACCTAATTGGGAAGGGCTTGAGCTAACAGTCACTAATTCAGAGAAAGCTATGCTAACATGAGTAAGCTGTAACTCACAGAAATGCAATGAAGATATAAAAACAAAATCAGACCCAACCCAGTTTTGTTGACATTTCTCCAGGGAAATACAGAAAGGAAAAGTGGTTTATTAGCACATGTGAAGTGTTTCAGTCTTACAGTAAATCAAATGGAAGTAAGGAAGAGGTCATAAGGCCTCTGTATGACTAGCAAAACCAGTAAAGCACTCGTAGGGCTTGTTAGGGTGGTTTATTGGGTCTTTTATTAAAACAATGCTAAGCTAGTTTAGCATTCGCCAGCTAATCATTTAAAGTATTTTCCTTCATGTGAAACATATTATCTTACATTTTCATATTGTTATAAATTAAGGATTTTATTGCAGTATATGTTTGGGTAGATTGTCATTATCAGTAACACTTTGGCAGAAATGGCCCACAATTGTTGTTATTCTTTCTTATAGATTTTTTTTTATTCAGAAAGCTTTTAATCTTTTATTTTATTGACCATTCAGTGCTTGATTTTGAAAAGTCACTTTTCAGTTTCAACATATTTCTTTCATTTCTTGCCTTTATATAAGCAGAGCAACTTGAATTAGGTCTTCAAGAGTTAGTCCAAATTGTATATTCTAAATTAGCATTTTTTTTCTTAAATCTGTTCATTTAACTGTTTTTATTATTAAATTCATAAATACTAACAGTGCAGGTAAATTGACAATAATGCCAATAGTTCATTTTAACATCTATTTACTTAAAAATTGTAAACGTGCAAAAAAAAAAGTTGATTTTAGAATTCAAGATTTTCTCTACAACAGAAAATTGAAGTTGTCCACTTTTTTTATTTAGGAGATCGACCCAGCAATGATTAAAAATGAAAGGGCCAAGTGTTTCTGTCATCAGATATGTCTAATTTGAATATGTTTAGCAAAATTCTTGGAAATTCATTCACAGTATTTCAGTAGATGCCATTAAGTTACCCTCACTATGCTTGCGTCCCAATGTGCATACTATCCATCCTAAATTCTATGTGATATTAGTAATTTTCAGTACTATTTAGGGCAGATAGGGTGGATAGTATGCACATTGGGACGCAGGGTATGTTTTCCATTGATATTTCTGTGTAACTAAATAAAATGGCCTTTTTGAGGAACAGCCTTGTTGTGAATCCTGTAACCCACTGATAGTTTTCAATAGCCTTGTTTGCAGCTGTGACACAGTATCTAAGGTTTGCTTAAAAGTCACGTCTCTTTCTCTGACAGATCTTTATTAAAGTTTGATGAGCTGAGGAGAGAGGAGAAATTGTCCACCCGAGCTGAGAGATCTATCAAAACAAGAAAGAGACAGAAATTAATGCTCGTTTTATAATATAATAAAAGGTTAAAGAACCCAGCATTAGTTAACATTATGTGACAAAACATGTAGTGTGGGTTACTTACCCTCAAGAGTATTCTGCAACTCAAGGACCTGGTTTATAAGTCTGGTCTTCTCCTCCAACTCCACCTGATTTTCTATGTCACCTGGAAGATGAACTTAAGAGTTACACACTTTGCAATCTCGGAGTCACTGAAAAAGTGTTCAACCACCTTATAAAAGTTTTAAAAGATTTTTTTGCATTCTATGGCACCTTTAACGCTTATTATTAATAAGAAAGAAAGAAATGAATAATGTTGGAAAAGGCTTATGTTCAGATAAGAAGACATTATGCATTTATTTTGGTATTGCCTTTTCATTGTTGCCTGTTGATTGAACATAGCAAAATGGTTAGCTATACTAGGCATTTAATTACCATGGAATTCAAATAAAATAATTTGAGGGTGATCATACACAAAATCTTTATTAAAATGTCATTTGAGTTGGAAAGGTATATATTCCTAAAATCAAGGATAATAAAGATTTGAATTTATATGCATTTAAATATTATTATTTGTTAGAAAACAAACTGTCAAGGGTTTGAACTTGTGAAGGAGAAATGTTTAAAAAGAAACTGAATTTGTGAGTTTCTTTGAAGATTAATTATTATTTTACTTAATGAAATAAAGTAGATAAATTACTAATATATATATATATATATATATATATATATATATATATAATTTATTGTAATTTCACAATTTATCTATTTTATCCACAATTTTATCTATTGAATTTATATATGCACTATGTAAATATATGTATGTGTGTCGTATTTATAGTATGTATGAACCTGTATGCATATTTGTAGATTGTTTGTCTGTGTATGTATATAAATTGTTTGTATATGTTGTGTTATTGATATTTGTTAAATATAAATGCTGTACATTCCAAAATAGTATGCATCTAAAACTTGCTTTTGAAAGGAAAAGGGAACAAAAATCCCCCCATATGTTATTTCTTATGTTAAATTGTATATTGTTGAATCAATCTGTACTGATCAACTGTCAGTTTCAAAAAAAGTAATCTGTAGATGTGCTGTAGATGAATCCACATGCGGATTCCACCCAGTGTCTCACCATCCATGTCAGAGTTCATGGCGAAATACTCGTCTACTGATTTGAAATGCAGGGCTGCGACTCTTGTGAACACACTTCTGGATGAGGGCAAGGCCTGATGGAAACTGTAAAAACACAGACCCGGAGTTTGCAAAGAGGCTTTCATTCATAATGTGGAGTGTGTGTCTTCTTCATTGGTGCTGCAATGCTGGGCGCTACATATTTGACTAAATAGCATGCGAATTGTAACTGTTACAGTGCACTGTAGTTGTATATCTTATGTAATATGACAGTATTACGTAATTTTGTAGATGGCCTAAGTCAAAGTACGCAGAATAAAGCACAACATAGTTTCCTATCTTATCGTTAAACAGCTGCTACCGTTCCTCAGTTTAGCTGCCGTTAGCTGCCACACAGCTGATGAGGTAAACAAACCAATACTGAATACACTGCCCATCACACTCCCAGCTGAAGCACAGCTCGTGTCCTTCGCTTTAAGGTATACACATATAAATCCACAAAATACAAATAAATTGTATAAATTACATCCAAACCTTTGCAATGTGAAATTATACCGGCAGAAGAGGTCCCACACTACCACAGCGACGTCTTCTGTAGTCTGACGTCATGGATCATGTGTTAACCCTTTAGCTCCCACAAAAGAAATGTATGTTTTATTACACATTTCATTATATTCCTAAACTAATTTTACATTCACAAATGCAAATTTTCAAACTTAAAAGAAATGTAAAATTACTTGAATATGTATATATATATATATATATATATATATATATATATATATATATATATATATATATATATATATATATAGAGTGATTGCTATCCCTTTAAGTTTTACATTATGTGAATGTGAGGTGAAAAAGAGAGACAGGAAAAGCAGCGGGTCATTTCCTGTCCTTTGGAATCGTCTTGTCTGCCATTTTTGAAGGGTATGAACAAATTGACAGAGAATCCGAGAGGTGGTATTTTAAGGCTGCTCAGTAAATTAATATAAAACCGGAATCGCAATATAGTCTGATTAGTAAATCCCAAAGAATGAAATGTAATTCAATAAATGCACTACGTGCTTTCCGGTTGTGTTCATCTACATTGGAGCAGCTCATGATCCGGTGTTTTTGGCGTCTCATAGCAGCTCCCTATAAATACTGCTTCACAAAAACTCTATCTCTGAATCTGCTTTCAGTTTGGGTCGCTTATCTTTCCGACTTTCTAAATTTGTAATGAGTTAAACTCACTGCTGTCAACAAAAAATAATAATTTTTTATAAAATAGCCATAAAAGTTAGTGTAAATATTAGAGTTTTCACAATTGTACTATAAAGGAAATTATTATTACCTAAATACTATTTTTGTTTTTAAATGAAATATTACAAAGGTAATATTTCTTATTTTAATACTTTGATTTTGAAATAATAATAATAATGATTTTGTTTTTACAGTGAAATATTGTCATAGTAATATTTATTTTTTTATATTTGTGTTTAGTAATCATTATTTGTTTTCTTAAGTACTCTTTTTTTTATTTAATAGCAAAGTATTACAATAAGAATATTTTTTATTTTATTTTATTATTTTTTTTTATTATTATTAAACAGAGAATACAAGAACTCATAGAGATAACAGCATAGAATAAAATCAAATACAATAACAATCAGCATCAAACCTTAAGGGGATCCACAATACATGTAAGGCAAAAAAAACAAAACATAAAACACTAGAAACTTGGACATGTCCGATGATATTTTCGGGGCACGACCATTTTTAAGTAATCTCAGACTCAGTGAGGAGTAGAATAGTTTAAATTCATTCATGAAATGAAGAAAGCAGGGGCGAGAGTCATTACTTGAATATATGACCTCAGTAAAAGATTCAAAGAAAGCTATGAGAACACAACACTTTTTGTACTAGATTGGTCCATTTCCCTGCTGAAAAAACTCCCCCAGCTAAAACCAGTCTAAACTGGTTTGCTGGTTTTAGTTGGTCATCCAGCCTGGTCTAGGCTGGTCATAGCTGGTCAGCAGGCTGGTTTTAGAGGGGTTTTGGCCACTTCCTTGGCTGGTCAGGCTGGTCTTAGCTGGGAGACCAGCTAAAACCAGCTACTTTCAGCTAAGACCAGCCAACCAGATTAGGCTGGTTTTAGCTGGGGGGGTTTTCATCTGTTTGTTTGTTTGTTTGTTTTATTCTTTTTATTTATTTTGTTGTCATTTTTGTATCATTTCAATTAATCGGTTGAACCGTTGCGCAACAGGTTTGGGGCTGCGTTTCCTAAAAAAGCATCACGAGCAGCTCAGCAATTGGACTGAACGATTTGTTCACTTCTTTTTTTGAATCAGTGCGAGCAGAATCGACATCAATACTTCGTTTTTAGAGCGTACTGGTAGAGCTAATTCTTTAACAACATACAATATCAATAAGCATTTACAAACGCCTTTCATCTGTATTTTATTTCATATTTATTGCATATATTCCATTATCTCTGCATGAGCCTACAGCATATATTTTTACTTGCTCTGTAGTCTGTACAGTTTTGTTTAGAACAGCATTAAGTCCAAATTATGATATTATGAATGCAATTTTAAACTTCAGTTTATCGTAAACAAACAAATAAACATACAAGATATAAAGACAAGCTATAACAGTATGCATCTGGAAGGGATTTATTAACAATGTTACATATTGTTCAATACAGTATGAAATCATTGAGTAAATAGAATACAACATGACAAAAAAGCAATTCTCATCACAACAAATATTTCACTTCTGTTTTGAGTAAAAAAGGAGTGAAAACAACACATGGGTCCTATGAGAGGAAAGATTCCTAAGAATGCATGAATAAGCATTCTATTTGTTATTAATAAGAAACAACAAGCTTCTGTAAATGTCTTTGTTCACAAAAAATATTTCACAGCCTGTTATAAGGAGCCTGACATAACAAAAATAGTTATCTGCATTGATAGACTGTTGGAATTGAAATAGAGGTGATTAATATGTTGATATCTCTCTCTCTTTATATATATATATATATATATATATATATATATAGAGAGAGAGAGAGAGAGAGAGAGAGAGAGAGAGAGAGAGAGAGAGAGAGAGAGAGATATAGAGAGCGAGAGAGAGAGAGAAAGAGAGAGAGAGAGAGAAAGAGAGAGAGAGAGATTCACTGTGAATAATGAGTAGACAGTTTCTAAATAATAATAAATACGAAATTTCACTTTAAAATATCATTACACTACGTGTAAATGTGCTGTGCTTTGAAATTCTGGGTGCAAGTCGGTGATTTTGGGGTCATTAAAGGCAGAAGCATGTGGTAAGATGTTAATAGAGGATACAACAAGTTAAAAGAATTATGAAGAATGAGGTCTTTTGAGTGCTGTGGTTTTCTAGTTAAGGTCTAGTAGATTCTCATGAACACTGAATAACATTATGTGTTGTACGGACATTGATGCTGCTTGAACTGCTCAGTATCACTGAATGTTTGGTTGCACTGAGAGCAGTGGTGAGAGTTTCGCAGCGGTGGGAGTTTCACCATTATATCGCTAATGTGGGTGTGCTGATGCCGTTTTAGGTATTCCACTCGACTGAAACGTTTCCCACACGTCCCGCACTCATACGGTCTTTCACCAGTGTGGATGCGCTGGTGCCTCTCAAGGTTCCCGAGACGACTGAAGCTGCGGCCGCACTGCGGGCACCTGTGGGGCCGCTCACCTGTGTGAACCAGCTGATGGCGCTCGAGGGAACGCGAGTGCGTGAAGCGTTTGCCGCAGAGTTCGCAGTGGTGTGGCTGCTCACACGCCTGGATGCATTCGTGGCTCTTAA